GAAAGTGAAAGTAATATAACAGATTTAGAAGTATGAAGTAATATAACGGAATGAGAATAAATAGTAAACAGTAAACAGTAAATAATAAACAATAGTAATATAAAATTCAGTAATAAAAATCAGATACAGAATAAGATAAAACATTAAAAGCAGGAAAAGTAAATATTAAACATCACGTAGTAATAAATAGAATATATAAATATATATCACAGGAAGTTATAATTAGTGATAAATATTAAAATATCACAGGGGAAATAATTAGTTTATTCATAATATGTAGTTACTATTCATCACTTTTTATATGTAAATTTAGTATATAAACATCTTGAATATCTTCAAGAAAATAAATCGTTCAATTCCCATCCACCAAATAAAAAAAAATTATTATAATAAATAAATTTTTTTACACAAATAAAAATGAAAACTTTTGTTTGAAATAATTAATTGCTGGACTGTTAAATTATGAAAATAAATAAAGTTATGTCGCTTGAATATAAACTTTGAAGGAAAAATAATATAAGGAAGTTATGATAAAATAAAAAGAGAATTTTAATGAAGGAATAAAAGAAAGAATTTTAAGAATAAAAACTAAAGAAAGAATTATTATAACGAACTAAAAAATAAAAACAATAAAAATAAAATTAAAGGAAAAAGAACAAATAAAAGAATTATAAAGAATATATATAAAAAGGAGAAATATTCATAAGTACTATTTGGAAAACGTATTCAGAAGTAATATTTGGAAGACACATTCAGAGATAACATTTGGAAGAAACATTCAGAATAAACATTCATAAAAAACATTCATAAGAGATAATGATATATAATAATTAGAATTAATAATATAAAGAATAAAGTGAAAGAATAAACAATATAAAGAAATAATTATAGAATAGAATAGTTAGAATAGTTGATGCCTAGTACTCGAATAGTATTCTGGATACTCATAGTAAAGTATTATATACATTTGCTGATGGTTCATTGATGCTGATGCTACTGAAACTATGTAAGATTTGAAAAGCTTAAACTAACGTTAAGAATAATGAGAATAAAGAGAAGAAGTATAATAATTAAAGAAATATAAAGAATAATTAGACTGAAGATTAGACGACAATAACATTGAAAAGAAATTATTAAAGAAAATTATTGCTCAACGTGAAGAAAAAGGTTCTTAGCAATTAAAAATTAATTTGTAAAACAAATCCTCTTGATAACGAGTGGCAGAAATGATCAAGAAGGTACAAGATATGTTGAAGCTTATCGAACTTAAAAATGCTATATATTTGTAAAATAAGGGTTATGGCAACTACAACAAATTATGAGACAGATCCTAACTTTGATAGATAGTTTTTAGAATAACTATACAATATTTTAGAGAACTTTTTTATATAAATAAAATTCATACATTATATAGAAAGTTTAGATATTAAGAACTTAACCATATAACTAAGGTTGCTAAGTGAAATCAAGAGTTTAGACAGACATCTAAATAGTAAAGATAAAACTTGGTTAAAATCTTATTAAAAAATTTGCGAAATTCAGAAAAAGGTAAAACTATATCAAAGCTTATATAAATAGTAAAACTATATCAAACACTTAATAAAAATTTAGTGAAACTAAAAGTTTAAATGTTTAGCCAAATCCAAAAGAGTTTACCTTACATATAATTAATCTTGATTATTTTATAAAATTGCTCAAGAATTATAAGATAAAAATATTTTCAAACATATAACACAAAATTAATTTTCTTATCTTATATTATATTTATTCCTTTATACTAAAAGAAAATTAGTTTAAAATATTAGTTATAATCTCTGAAATCATAAATGGTTTGGAATTTAGTCATTTATTTTTTTAATAATACCTTAAGTTTAGTTATATTCAATTGCTATTCAAGTATTTTCAAGATATTTAGATTAATCCTTTAATTAATTAAAAATTTTAACTATAGTCAGATCTTTGGAACGCATTATCTTAAAAAGTAATAATTTGATTTTAATGTATTTAGGCATATTAAAAAACCTATATGAGTAGTATGCTATTAAAATTGAAATACAAATTATATGATTTACTATATCTTATACCTTAATTTAATAGCATACCACCTATATATTATACTATTTGTATACGTATTTATAAAAATATTGCATCTCAAATTTGATATATATTATTGCCTTATATATGCATAATATTTTAGTTTATAATGCTCTTTTTTATGTAAATATTTAGCAAAATCATCTTCAAGCTTCACCAAATGATTTAATCTTTTTTTGCAATCATATACTATGAAAATTAGTATATCAGTCATTGGTTGTTAGGTGATATACACTACTCACTTTAGGTATACTTTTTTTTGATGTTAGATGGTATACACTACTTACTCTAGGTATACTTTTTTTTTTGAACTATTTGCATATAATATAAACATGATATAAGAAGGTATAAATATTAATACTTTTAGCATTAACATCAGTATTATCTAACTAAAACCCTGGAGTTTTCTGTTGTTTTGAAAAAAACTGTTATTGACACATTTTTCTATTATTTTTTATATTTTAATACCTTATACTATATTATATATTTTTTTTTTCTATTGATAAGGGTGAAAGTAGTATTAATAATTATATAGGAATATAAAAAGTAAAAAGAATGGTATTCAATATACCTTAAAAGATGCTGAAATATTAACTTTAAGGGAATAAGGAATTGCATATAGAGTGAAAACCTCTTGTTTATAAGGGATGAGTATATTACATAATGCTTATAACTACTAATCTAGCATAATAATTTTAGGCTAATCTAGCAAAATTTTGTAATTCCAAAAAATATTAATTTTATTTAAAAATTTAATTTCAACCAAAATAAAAGTAATTATCCCATTGGTATTATGTATACACTGGTGGAATTTCTTATCACTTACTTCACTGATTTATAACAAGTAATATGAATATGAAATTTATATTAAAATAATTATAGAAATATATTTATTTATATAGCATTATTTCAGTAATGAACATGAAAATGTACATCTTTAACTGTATTAGGAATATTAATTTTTGAAAATTCAGATTATTCTTGAGTATCCAGTTCGGATTTTCTCATTTTTCATTGGGAAAATTGTTTTGCATTAGATATATTTTTTAATTTTTCTCACCTTTTAGCTATTTAAAAATAAAGTTATAATTGAAATGTAAAAATATATAAAATGCATTAACAAATAATTTACCATTATTATTTTTATTACTTGAATTAGTATTTATATTTGAATCTAAGTGCTCACTTCATTGGATTTTAATATGTCTCTACTTGGGCTTGAATACTCCTGTTTTTATTTGATTCTAAAAATTAATAAAAATTATAAAATTGTATAATATATTATTAAAAAAAATAGTTAAAATTTATAAAACTTTACCTGAACTTTCTGAATCACTGCTATAATCATTATCATTAAAGTTAGTCTATGAATTTCCAGGAAAATATTCAAATTCTTCCACTTCAATATCTTCAATATCTAAAGGAATTAAGCTAACAATATTCTGAATTTTTCTTGCTTCATCTAAACTTTTGTAAGTTCTTACTCCTTCTCGTGATCTGTGACCAGAAAATTCCATAATTCTATCCTCTGGAATATCTTCATCTTTAAGCATTTGTATTGCTATTCTACGCCAACTATGGTTAACAATTTTTTGATCATCAGACAAATTAATATCTGTTAAATTTGCAATTTGATGTAACATTTTCCCTAATTTATTTTGACTCATTCTTTGTGTTTTATAACATATTCCTTTATTTAAATCTAAATAAATAGAAATTTTTAATAATTAAATTAATAAATAAATAAAGATATAATATAATAAATTAATTTACCTTTTTTCGATCTTGTAGTTTCTAAAAAAAATGATGAACATGCATTTGA